CAACCAACAAACAAATAGCATTCAACAACAACAACAACAACAACAACAGCAACAACAGCAACAACAGCAGCAGCAACAACAACAACAATACAATACAAACGCTCACTGTTGGGGTCAATGACGGGAGGTGCTGACGTCACACTCGCTGCAGGGTTGTTCTTTATCGGGGTACCGAGACGCTCACCAGAGACCCATGACGTCACCAACAGGCAGTATGACGTCAGCAAAGATTGAGTCCACCTCATCTTGCCGATGAAGATCACAGACGATCTCAACCTATTAAAGGAAAAAATAAAACCACCATCATATTTCATTTAGAAGTGTAATTGGAAATATTTTTATTATGAAAATAGTAATTCACATCTAGACACACTGTCGGTCGTTGTAAAATGGGCGAAAGGGGGGGGGGGGTTGTTAATAGCCCCTGAATGAAACATTAAAGATCTAAAAAGATATATTGCAGTCAATATTAGTAAACAAGGACCCATTAGGATTTGAACTTCGGCCTTTTGTAGCCTACAGGCTGGTCAAGTATACCAAAATCTAAACTAAGCTCGACTTTATGCGATACCAAAAGACAGACTTCAAGGCGGCGGTATCACAGCTGTGAGAACCAACGCCAATGGCATTGAAGTTAGTCTCTTAGCCGTTGTACCCAGAGCATTTGAGTTCAATTCTCGAGTAGGGAATTCATATTTGGTCGCTTTTAAGGACAAGCGGGCTAACCCAGATTTCGTCGGGTTCCAGAAATCTTGACCTACACCAAAAGTGGGCATTGCCCTACCTATAGGAGAAATTTGGCTTCATTGGTGTGTATATTTGTTTGGTTATAAGGAAAACTCTCCTCGTCTTTTAAAGAATTTAAAGAAACTGAACAAGGGGCGATAACTTTACCTTTGATTTTCCCAGAACAGCATTTTTCGGGATAGCCCCCTTGTGTTTAAAAGCGACCATTTGTCAAGCACCTCAGTCTCATTGAATGCTGTATACTACTCAACCACCGAGAATGGGCCTCACTGAAAGGTTCGAAGAAGGACGCTTCATACACAGTCAAAAATTGTGTCCATAGGGACGTTTGCAATGGTGTACAGTAGGAGTTTTACAGTACTTCAAACTATAATTGTTTGTTGGGATTTTTAGTTTTAGTAAGTGTTTTACGGCACTTGCAACACAATAAGATCATATAAGTGCTGAAGATTAGCGGTGTTACAAGAGAGCAACAAACACAAAAAAAGGAGGGGAGATAAAGACGATAGATGTTTGATAGGAAAGAAGAAGCAAACCACACCAGAGCACTCGCCAACCACCCACTATCACAGCTGAGAGAACCAGCGTCAAAGGTGTTGTAGTTAGTCTCTTAGCCGTTGTACCCAGAAAATCTCAGTCTCATTGAATGCTGTGTACTACTCAACCACCGAGAATGGGCCTGAAAGGCAGGTTCGAAGAAGGCTGCTTTATAAACAGTCGAAAATAGTGTCGACAGGGACGTTTGCAATGATTTATTTGCTTCTTAAGAGTAGAAGGGTTAAATAAGTACTTCAAACTATAATCGTTTGTTGGGATTTTTAAATTTTGTGAGAACGTCCTTGAAGCTGGCGTTCATTGTTGATCTCGAGCGGCCGATGGACAAGAGAGATTAATTGTCAATACACCACGAACCATATCGGGCTGTTTTTCTACACTGATATATTAATTTATCGGGTATCCCCGTCCGTGTGTTGGGATACTGTATCCCTCTAAGCCTATGATGGTTCTGGCTGACATATTGTAGAAGTAGTCTCTGTTCATATATTATGCTCTCAACATGCACAAGAGCCCATCCTTCCTTTATTTCTCTCTCTCTTTATACATCTATTTATCTCTCTCTCTCTCCGTCTCTCTCCCCCCCTCTCTCTCTCTCTCTCTCTCTCTCTCTCTCTCC